AGCATAGTAGAGTTTGTATCCACAGGGAAAGGTGCTTTTTACGTATGTGTAAGCGTAACTAATAAAAGTAAACGGAAAGGGGAATTGGAAATTTTGATAATTGAGAAAGAAAATAAAATACTAAAATGAGGGAAATAAAATATCAAAGGTAATCGACCTTGGTTTTGCTACTTTCCACTGGTTGATATATTTTAGTCGATCATTGTTATATCTATAACTTATCCCCTCTCGAATACTCAATCGAGGAGTATCTCCAATTCATCGAAGGTAGTTATTAACAACGACCGACCCGACCGTTCATTAATAACCCTTACTATTAGTCAAGTATAGAACACCGCCATATACTGACTTGATAGTAGCATTAATCCCTTAACTCCTTGATGAAATCAATTGAGATTGATAACCTCAACACAACGGTTTCGGTTTAACCAACACAATTAATCCCTCTTAAGTTTATTAACCACGACCGTGCATTAATAAACCGAAGTTACTTACTTGTGAAACCATCAACGATTATCCATCGGTTCATTGATCGTTTCTAGTAGTAATTAATGTCGAGATGTTAACTAATATAGAGAACACTCCCCAACATTAATATAGAGATAGATTAAGGGAAGAATTAATATTCAAGGGAAGAAGTTAAGAAAATAACTCACAACTTTAATAATCAACAAGCTTCAAGAGCAAAACCAAGCTCAAAAGACTACCTAAAGTATAAGAATAATGTGTATATGAAAGAGGGGATTAATTGATATGTAAAATAGGAAGAAAAGGGGTGTTTTTATAGGAGGCGTGAGGTGGTTGGGTCTAAGACATAATCTGATTTTCCCATGTTCACTTGCTTTATTTGATCCCTTATGATCTCCGGGTTAAATCATATTCGATTTTTCACATTTCTTTGTCATCCATGAAGCTTCCTCTTGTCTCCAATGCTCCTTCCTTATGCTCCCAAGCTCCTTCCTCTTCTTTTCATCATGTTTTTGCTTACATGTCAAAATATCTTAATATCTTCTAATTCTACTTTAATTTTAGAAGATAAAGATTACACCGTAATTGTAAAAAAGCTAAGTAAACATAATGTAAAACCATTCTAAAATGTGGTGTTCATGCACTACCAAATAGTACGCATCAAATACTCCCATGCTTAATCTCTTACTCGTCCTCGAGTAAAGTGCAATTCAATTAAGTTCAATGCTTAGGGGTGTCATGTATCTTCTCACATTTAAAATTGGTTTCTTCTCCCAAGGTTTTTTCTGATCATGCTCCCCCATGCTAAGCTTTTTGTTCTAGCCTTTGAATATTTCGAGAAGCTCTTTGAAAACACCCGATCGAGTATGGCCTGTACCCGATCCGGTATCTTGTTGTTCGAACTTACACACGAAATTTTCCCCAGCAAAAATTAAAAGTTATCTCGCTTTCTCTCATTTTGCCCAGGAGTCCTTTTCGGGTTTTCATCCTAGCTCCTCATTTTTTCTTCATCTCAATGGCAAATGGAGTTCAGTTAGGAATATGGATTTGGGGTGGAGTAGAGGATCAAAGTGTGTACCCGCTCTTTTCAATTTATTCAAGGTAAATGAAAAAACATAAAAGAAAATTAAAAACAAAATTACACAAACACACAGTTAAAAAGTGTAGCCTTTCCCCGGCAACGGCTCCAAATTTGACGAGCACTTTGTCGTAGTGTGGCTCAAATTAAATTCACTACTAAGGGCTAATACTGTAATATAGCATAGTAGAGTTCGTATCCACAGGGAAAGGTGCTTTTTCCGTATGTGTAAGCGTAACTTATAAAAGTAAACGGAAAGGGGAATTGGAAATTTTGATAATTGAGAAAGAAAATAAAATACTAAAATGAGGGAAATAAAATATCAAAGGTAATCGACCTTGGTTTTGCTACTTTCCACTGGTTGATATATTTTAGTTGATCATTGTTATATCTATAACTTATCCCCTCTCGAATACTCAATCGAGGAGTATCTCCAATTCATCGAGGGTAGTTATTAACAACGACCGTTCATTAATAACTCTTACTATTAGTCAAGTATAGAACACCGCCATATACCGACTTGATAGTAGCTTTAATCTCTTAACTCCTTGATGAAATCAATTGAGATTGATAACCTCAACACAACGGTTTCGGTTTAACCAACACAATTAATCCCTCTTAAGTTTATTAACCACGACCGTGCATTAATAAACCGAAGTTACTTACTTGTGAAACCATCAACGATTAACCATCGGTTCATTGATCGTTTCTAGTAGTAATTAATGTCGAGATGTTAACTAATTGTCATCTTAGAAACACTCCCCAACATTAATATAGAGATAGATTAAGGGAAGAATTAATATTCAATGGAAGAATTAATATAGAAAATAACTCACAACTTTAATAATCAACAAGCTTCAAGAGCAAAACCAAGCTCAAAAAACTACCTAAAGTATAAGAATAATGTGTGTATGAAAGAGAGGATTAATTGATATGTAAAATAGGAAGAAAAGGGGTGTTTTTATAGGAGACGTGAGGTGGTTGGGTCTAAGACATAATCTGATTTTCCCATGTTCACTTGCTTTATTTGATCCCTTATGATCTCCGGGTTAAATCATATTCGATTTTTCACATTTCTTTGTCATCCATGAAGCTTCCTCTTGTCTCCAATGCTCCTTCCTTATGCTCCCAAGCTCCTTCCTTTTCTTTTCATCATGTTTTTGCTTACATGTCAAAATATCTTAATATCTTCTAATTTTACTTTAATTTTAGAAGATAAAGATTACACCGTAATTGTACAAAAGCTAAGTAAACATAATGTAAAACCATTCTAAAATGTGGTGTTTATGCACTACTAAATAGTACGCATCATTTATTTAAAAATAAATAGTGCATAAAACAACAGTGCACAAATCATATTTCTAAAAGTGTTATATATTTATAAATATGTAATTACACATTGATATGCAATAAAAGTGCATAAGTTTTGCAATATGAATGCACCACTTGAACAATAAAGTTGCCCAAGAGCATAAGCTTTTCATTTTCTCATATCTAAAGAAGAAAATATATTAGTACATAATTGTTAATATATAACATCCAAAGTAAGGATCATATGAGAATATCATCTTAGGAGAGAAATGAGTAATTCTGGAGCGTTGGATTTGGGTGTCGTGCATCATGCAAAACAAAAATGTGCTTATAAAAAATTAGAAAATGTGTATTTCAATTGTGCAAAAGTTTAAACGTAAATGTGCACATTTGAATCTTGCATTGCTTTAACAATAAATGTGCATATAAGTGCATGATAAAGTGCAACGTTTTAGAACGTTCTCATTTCTCACGTTAAGAAGTATTCTCGCCGAAACCGCACTCTAACGTGCAAATGCTTTGATTAAGATCATATGTGCAAATACAAATGATGATAAATGTACACAATAATATTTTTAAAATCTTCTTTACTTTGAGTGTATGGAAGTTAATGATAAAAGTGGAGAATCTTTCAATACTAGTGTATGTATAATGATACAATTAATGAGAATATATAAATGCACAATAATACAGTTAATGACAAAAATACATTATTTTGCTATACGAGTACACTACAAGATTAATAATATATTTGCATACTTTGGAATAAATATTTCATAATGCAATTAATTAAACTATTAGAACAATTGATATATACAAAGGCATAAAGTATTGCATCACACTGTTTTTTTTTAGAATTCATATCACCGCCGTGGATAGTGCTTGGGCTATTAATAGTAATTAATTAAACATTGTTTACTTTTTTTTAGTTACGTTAACGTTAAGTTAGAGCGGTTAGTTGTCCAAAGTTCTGCCTAATTTCTTTTTTGCCACCGTTAAAAACTAAATCTATACCGTAGGAATCTGATTTTAGATGGATGAGATTTGTTCTTATTTCTCTCCTAAGCTACCATTCTCACCGAAACCTTACCCTGTGTCCCTGTGTGTGTAGTAGGGCTGCACATCGGGCGGCTTGGGTTGGGTTTGCTATATTTTTTGGGCCTACCCAATTTGTTCGGGTTGGCTATTAACCAACCCGCGCACGCAAAATAAGTTGGTAAACCACACATGAGCGGGTCGGGTAGGGTCGGGTATTGAAAAACAAATCACTTCGGGTTGCATCTTTCATGTGGGAAACCAATGTAACCAATTTGAAATTCGATTAACTTGTTTCCAAAACACACAAACAAATACAAGTACGTGTATCTTTCATAAGCAAAAACATTCGGGAATACTATTAAAGCATCCTTCCGTAAAGGAAGTTCATTTAGAAGGAAAAGTAAATATATAATAATCACCTAGTCAAAATGGTAAATATTTAATTATAATTCTAATATCATAAAGTCCTAGATAGAGCACATTGGTCTTAAATTGAAATTATCCAATAAATTGTATCATAATAATAGTAAAATGAACATTCGACTGGGTCGGCTATTATCGGGTTTGAGATTTTAATTCGGCAACCCTACCCACTAGGTGCGGGTTCATACATATTTAACCCATGAATATTTTTTAAAATCAAATACCCGAATAAATAGGGTCGGGTAGGGTTGGGTTGGGCGGGTTATGCGGGTTCGGGTTATTCTTGTGCGAGTGTGTAGTATGGATAAAATAAAAAGTGCTTCCTAGGTGAAAAGTAAGAGTTTGTTTTTATGGATTTTTTTCAAAAATATTACTAAAATAAAACTTATTTACTAAATATGACTAATAGTTAGTACAATGTAGTGTCATGCTAATTTAGGTTTAAAAATTTAACAAAAATTACTATGATTTCGTTGCTACTCTAATCACTAATCACGTTTTTGTAATCAATCTTTATTTTAGTCATATATATCTAATTATTTTATTTATCTGGTACCGAAATATTCCGTATATACTATCTATATTCCACTCGCTTAAAGAAAATGAAGAAGAATCCGATTAATAATGTTGATATCACAAACAACAACAAAAGTGAAGATAAAAACAATTAATTAATCAGATTCCCACTTTGCATCCAATTTCCAGTGAATATTATCATAACTACGATATGCTCCAACGCTATTAAACTTCCAATGGATGAGTTGATACTCTTTGTCTCTTTTAAGATCATATGCACTGATCTCCAGAATGTCTGGGTTACTGTTATAGCAGGTGCAACCATAGGCATTAGGGTCATTTTTCTCCTGGGCTTCAAATGAAAATCTCTGGCCTGGCAGTATGGTTTGTTCAAAAGCCTTACATAACAAACTCACATTATTTTGGTCGTATTGATTGACCAAATCGACGACCGGGAATTTCGCTGCGGATGATAAATCCGTAGCGGATATCGCCAGTGATAATGCCGCCAGGACGACCCATATTTTGTCTTGATTCGTCACCATATTTTTCACTCTGTTTTGCTTATTTGTATGACTAAGGCCGGACACAATGATTTTCCAAATCATATGTGGCCTTCTTATAGTTTGAGAGATCCGGCTTGCAAATCTTCTGAAGTTGTTATGTGGACCTACCTACTTTCTAACATTAATGTTGGCGATTATTAATTTTTTTCAGAAATGGATTGGGAATTAATGGTTATATATACCATACATGCCTTATTTAGACTATGGATTCCAGGAACGAAATTTTATAAAGTATTTCTGGAAAGAAATTAAAGGTCAATGTTTTTTTGATAAATATTTCATCTTAAAAGACTATGGATGTTTTCTTTTGTACTGTTTTCAATTCCAGACCAAATCAGATCAGACCAGACCAGACCAGACTTCCGTAGTTATAATTTATAAAATACACAGAGACCAGACGTTTACCAGACCAGACCAGTTCAGACAAGACTAGACCATATCACACCAGACCAGACCAGCGAATTTCAGTTCAAAAGAAAACATAGGATTGGGTCACCTAGGATTGGGACCGTAATGAATGTAATTTGGACTTATTAGCTCTTGTTCCGAATAAAAAAACGGCCAGTTTCGGTTCAGGCCGGTCCCGAGGCTGAAACTGTATACACCCTGTGTGCACATTGTTGCATTCGAATTACGCTAAAATTTCTCTCAACTTTTACTTTGCTCCGAAAGAATGGATAACTACTTGTAAATACTACCTCCCTCCCTTTTATATTGGGACGGAAGAGGGTGCCACAAGTTTTAAGAAAAGCGGGTTTGTGTGGTTGATATTAATTGGTAAAGTAAGAATAAAGTAAGTATAATTTTGAGCCACACAAACTTTACCAAATAAGGTATGAGACAATTAAATAGGGACATCCCAATATGATAAAACGAGACATTTAAAAGGGGACGAGGGGAGTAATATGGTAACTATTCATTAAAAAAATGATGACACTCCAATCCCGAGGGCCCCAAACACCGATCAGACAATTAATTGAAAGAATATATATTGGACCTTAATAATAAGTTAATAGATAGAGAGTGGAGCTCAGGTACTTACTGAGGTCTTATGCATTGTTACATAGTAATTTCTCATTGTAGTTATCAGGATTCGAATCAGAAACTTACTCGGTACCCCCTACCTACGCCCCGACCCACCTGTAACTATATCATTTTTAGAGGAAAAGACCCCGTGTTTAGTTAAATGCTTAATTTAGGACTCCATTATTCACACTTTTTCAGCTTTTCAAATCCGTAATGTTTGGTTGACTAACTTATTTGATAAGTTGGATCATTTTAAAAAGCTTGGTTAGGTAGTTTTTCATATCCCATGAGTATATTTATTCTAATACCAGTACCAATTTTTAATAGAATATTGTTTAACATGTTGGTCATATGGGCTTGATTAATAAAAAATGGAGCCTTGGTAAAATTTTAGGTCATGTTCACGAGCTCCACTTACACTCTCCAAGGACACAAATCAACTATTTTATCAATTAGGAATTATAAGTGACTAATTGTCAAGATGTTTACCAAACAAAACCTTAATGTCTATCTAGTACATTACACTCCAAAGTTCAACACAAGTGTCATATAAAAGTTTAGCTCAGGCAACCTAAGATACGTTGTGAATCTTAATACATGGATTCATTATCACTTTTTCATTATGTTCTATAACATTTTCAAACGATTATGCATTTATAGTGATAAGTAATCAGATTTAGAAGCTGCTACTCCTTATCAATGAATTCCCATTCTGCCAAGTCTGATGTAGAGTTCTTAACCCCAAACCTGGACGCCATGTGATCCAGTTTTGAACGCATTCCCACAACCAGCCACGGTTCATCTAGTTCACATAGAGTCTTGTCATCAACCTTACTCGAATGCTCCTTTCGCTTCACCACACATTTTTCTTCGTCCCGGATCACCGTCTTCTCTTTGCAATTCACCTCCATTGTCTTTTGATCAAATGAAAATCGTAATGAAAGGTTTGCAGCTCACTGCTGTACTGTTTGTACACTTAACGAGAAAAGACTAATTAACAACTATGATATTTGTTATACTGAGTATGAACAAAACCACCATAACTCGAAACTGATCCAAAAATATGTGAAATTGAACGGATAAAACCAATCCATTCAAATCTACATCAATGGAAAACGACCAAGCTATAGGCGGTTCCGTTAACAATGAAGGTTTACAAATAACAAACCAATCTAACCGACCAAAGCCGATTAAAAAAAACGATATAAATATGTCAAAAGCGGTCGATACCAACAAATGCTAGATCCGTTTGGTTCACATTTTTACATCTACCAATACCGAATTGGTCTAAATGAAGATAAGCTTACATTTATTTGCTATATTATTGTACATTTTTGTGTGCAATGCATTTGAAAAGGAGATATTACCCAAAATGGGACTAAAAAAGGTTGAAAAATTCCAAAATAGGACTTTCATGTTTTTATTCCCAAAATAAGACTAATTACTGCCATGTTTTGGCAGTACCAGACTTCAAACATGACAGTATTTTCCAAATTTGGCAATAATTAGTCCTATTTTGGGAATAAAAACATGACAGTCCTATTTTGGAATTTTTGAACTTTTTTAGTCCTATTTCGCGAACTTTCCCAATGAAAAGTTAAATCACAGTAGAAGCATGCCACACTTGAACATAATAATAAAAATTAACAAAACAGTGTATGCCTTAATTTACTCTTAGTTATATCTGTCCAAGAAAAATGAAATATTTTGCTAACAAAACAATGTATACCTTAATTTACTCTTAGTATATTAAGTGGATGTCCATTACTCTCCCCAGTCCATATGTATATTAGGTCTTAATTCCCCTTTTTTGTCTGATTTAAAGAGAAAGTGAAAAAATAGGTCTTAATTCCATTCTCCCCTATATTTATTGTTATACTCTGTATGTGAATGGAAAAGATGGGATTTAAGAAGATGTGATTTAGTTTCTAATGGGATACGAATTTTATTAACTAATTAATTATGTTTGAGGAGCCCAGAATACACTAAATCATACCCGTGCCTTAATAAATATAGTGATTTTAAACAAATAAATATAGATTGTAATTCTATACGGTATTATAGGAACTAGGAAGTATTATGTTAACCTTTTAATATAAATAAATTGTTAACACTTTTCAAAATCTCTATGATTCATAGATTTTTTTACTCCATTATATTTCTCTAGTTCTCCTACTCTCCAAGACTCGCTTGGTTAACTATGGTATATGTTTGAGAGTTATATTTTGAAATGGAGGTACATGATTAGGAGGGCCGATAACCTCTCATTTCTTGATTAGGATTTTTTAAAAAAAAAATAGAAAGAGTGGTTTTGAAGGGTTCTTGACTTCTTGTGAATTTTGATCCTTGAAAGCCCTTCAGCTCAATTTTTAAGTTCCTTAAAATTGGAGATTTTAAATGATAACTAATCACTTTAGCTTAAATTAAAGAGAATATGGAGTATGAGTTTCACTATTTAAATACGTCATATCTTTGAGGTGATTTTAATTATAATTCATCCTTATCACTTCTTTTCAAATTTTAACTCCCAAACAAAAAGAAGGATTTTATCCCCCTTCACATCCCCTTCCCCCCCTAGGACTAATATCCAAAGCCTTCCCTCCCATTCTGACCAAACTCCAAACATAACTGCTATGTTCTCAGAAATATACTTGCCTGGCCTATTTAAAGATTTCCTAAAAACTATTTAAATATTAATACTCCCATTAATCCATTATCCACACCCTGCATATATGCAAACTCACCCAAGATATATAAGAAAAGACAATAAGAAAAGATATCCTAAAAATATGCAACCAAGCACATAGCCGACTTAATAAGTGATAACATTGAAAAGCTTACTGAGCTTGGACTTTTTGACATGGATACAATATAATTTTTTACCTCAAAAATAGTTCTGCTCCTGCATGTGTGTTGAGGAAATGAGTTAAATGCCCAGAATGAAATCATTTAAATTGGAAAAAATGGGAGACTAATTAAGGGCATTTCAACCGCCAACCCAAGCCAACGATTGACATTCCCCGTAGAAGGAACGCCCATAGCCCTCCCTATACGATGCTATTCATTCCATTAAATGAAATTGAATAATAAAAAGTAAAAACGTATGCAAATTCTAACAAATATGAGCATTATTATTTTATTTTTTAAATAGGAGTAGTTAGGATCACATTTTTGACATTATTAGACTTTAAACTTGACAATGTTTTTCAAACTTGAGAGTATTTACTTGTATTTATTTAGGAATAAAAACACAGTAATTGCAATATATTTGGACTTACAACCTCATTTTGGCATTATTTATGCCTCGTTTTGACATTATTTACATCTGTTTTGGAGTTCCAAAACGCTTTTATTCTTATTTCAGAAATAAACCCTTCTAATAAATATAGTTGAACCCTAGCAATATCTATGATCCGTTAAAATAATGCTTAACGAACTAGCAATTGCAAATTTGCAATACGCTGGCGGAACATTTTCCCAAACTAATAAACTATAATAATTGATTATAAAGTACTACGTATGAAACAAGATGTTAATTATATAAAACAAAATGTCAATGAAATAGATAATGGATATGTGCCTCTTATGGAAAGATATAACAAATTGACTCTACAATTTTGGAACATTCTATTATACAAAACATTTGTTGTCTAATTCGACCTAGATTTGTACGAAAATGGGTTCGGGCTGAATTTTTTCTAATTTTTGCCCATTAGTGTGGGTAGGCCTGACATGGCCCGCAACAATTGGGCCTGATCATGTGTCCATTCCTGACCGTAAGAATCAACTAGGTAGTCCATTGAGCTCGGCCCCGAAAGTCTTAAATTTTTCAATATTATCGAACAATTTAGAACACTTGTAAAATAGATTATACTCTTTTACAAATTGTTTGTAACGTTAATATGTCTTAAACCACATAGGGCTGCACATCGGGCGGGTTGGGTCGGGTTTGCTATATTTTTTGGGCTTACC